AATATTCTTAAAACACAACTTTATACGTGTATTCTAATCTAAGTGACACTAAACATTTAAAAAGAATATTCGTTTGTACGCTTTTTCAAAATCAAAGTTCAGAACGTAGTCGGATACCTTAAATTGAATTCTTCATCTCATTGCAAAATAACGTTTCTCTTAAATATTCAACTCCGGAATGAAATTTTCCAAAGTGAAGTTATTTAGAATCTATTTGGTCCAGAGACATGCTCTTTCTAGTGTATGCATTTTTGACTAACAAATAAAAAATAACTCGGAAGTCAAAGTAAAATGGGAGAGGAGACGACTCCCTTAAATCTAGAGAGCAGGAGGGGGGCTTATTCAGAAGTCACTTCGGCAGTCCCAACATGGGAACTCACCTAGTGGAACCCATTCATGTCTTAATATAGAGAGTATCCGACGTGAGCTGACTGGAAATACCCTTTAACTAAGCTTGGGTACAGTTAAAACGCAGCGAACAAAGAAAAAAACTGCGACGCCACTCCCTTGAGTTTTTAACAAACCCCAAAACCCTTCAATTCCCCTATTTTTTTTTTTTTTTATCTGTTTCGTTTTTCTCTACTTTTTGTGTTCTTTTTCTTTTTCGAAACCAAACGAAAAACTTCTAGTCACGTGATCTCTCATTCGTGAGATTCCGGAATACTGGCCTTTATCCAGATCAATGTAGGCACACTTCTCAGCCACCAGGCGGCACCACTGTCGATACCGCTCGATAGGCGTAAGGGGGGGTCTTGTCTTAGGGGCCTTTTCGATGCGTGCCAGAATTTGTCTTGCCTTCTCTAGCCCAAAGGACCCTTTTGAAACGATTCTTCTACATCTTTCTGAAAAAATTGCACAGGTATGTGACATTAAAATTTCGATCCATCTGCAAACTCTAGGTGCAAAATAATTATTCCTTCCTTGTAAATAATTTTATTTAATTTCTTAGAAAGCATTGCGCAAAACGTAATTTTTTCTCTGCAACCGAAAACAGAAAAATCTCAAAAATAATTATTTTCTAGATGTAAAATCCCCAAACTAACAATGTAATTATTGTCACCATTGTGTTGTCATTAGTTAAAAATGTTTCCGATGCGATGCATTCATTAAAAAACCGAAAGTAAACTTAAACTTTTTGAAAGAACTTAAAGCTTAGCTCTCATAAATAGAGTCGTAAGAAATATATAACTACAAAATTAAAATTCAAGATTAAAAAAAAACATTCGTGTAATATTTTTAATGCATTGCTGTTAATAAACTTTTTTTTAACATGCAGGTAAAAATAGTTTTAGTTATTTATCTAGATATTAAAATTGAGTTCCTCTTAGTTAAAAAGCAAAGAGGAAGAAATATAAAGATATATTTTTATTGATGTTGATAAGTACGTTAAAAAGCAAAAGAAACTTTTTGCGTTAAAGTAGATTTTTACTGAATATTTGTCGTATATTATAAGGTAATTTTGCAAGCGCTCTTGCGGCGTGATTTAGAACTAAAAGCAGTAAAACGTTGAAATTCTTCTAAAACTTTGTACTAAATGAGCCAGCTCAAAAAACACATTTTTTTCTTACGTCTCATTTTGGAAATTTAAAATTTGGTCTCTCTTTCTCTCTCTTCCTATTTTTTTTTTCTTTTCTTAAATTACGATATTGCGAAACTACCCATTTTCCTTTTTGAAGGAAAACGTTTCAGAAATAAATTTCGTAGAGAATATTTTTAATTTTTGAACTAATAGATTCTTATTTTTTTAAATACCTCAGCGTAACATTTTCCTGAAATTGCGTATTCTACTTAATAAAAGATATTTAAGTTCAGAACTTTGTTACATTCACACACAAGCTCATTAATTCATTACATCATTATCACGTTTGTTTCGAATGTTAAAACTTTAATCGCTTATTTTTAGTGGGAAGAAAAAAGTCGCTCAATTCTACGAGAAGTTTATTTCGGAAACTCCTGTTTCGCAATCCATTCCCTTTTTAAAAAAATATTTTCATGCAACAAGAGTTGCGATTTCCTTTAAATTCGCAGATTATTTTTTTCTCCATTTATTACTTTTATTAATGGCTACTTCATAGAAAATAGATTTAAAGGAATGTATTCAAAAATTACTTAAGAATGCCTTAACAAACGCAAAAAGGTCGTGACGTACAGCGTTTGCTCTGGTAATTAGTAATTATTTTTTCTACGGCATTTTAGATTTATTCACGCTCCATTTAAAAGCTCCAGTTCAAAAACAGGTGCAATTTAACAAATATTTTCCTATATTATTTAATATTTCTGAACAAGATATACTCTTAATTAAAAATGATACACATTTAAGTTGAATCGAAACCACAATATTAAAAAATTATAATTATTTATCTTTTCAATAATTAAATAAAGAATTTCTCTTCATTTAATAAAAAATACTTTCGCTTCTAATGCGAATAAAATATTTTAAACAGAAGTATTTAATTTATAATTGCAAATAAATTAGTAAAAATATAAACTTTTCATTTTTTTAAATAATCTTTTTTTTTAATCAGCATATAAAAGAACAAAACGGAAAGTTTTCAAGGTTTTTCATTTTTATTGCTGTTAATAAATGTATTTGGAAGTTTGAATTATTTTTTTTAAAGCTAATGCTTTTTCTTTGAAATTCGTATTTTTTTTATTTGCCATTTTGACATTATTTTAAGTAATTGATTGCTCCGAAAAAAATATATATTTACAGGTTATTGAAAAAAATTTGTATAAATTATGTGAAATAAAGAATTTAATTAAAATAATACTTTTCTCGTTCTTTAAGTACCATAATTCAGTTAATAAAAAGTGAAGATTTTTTTAGGGGTATATTTCACTTAACATAGAAGTTTTATCTATCAATAAATTTGAAAATCTAATTTTGAGGTTAATAGATGTCTGTAAAATATCTGTCATTTCAGAACAGTTAAATGAGTCATAAAATTCTAAAGCACACACTTCATTAATACTAAATTTCTGATTTTTAATTTCAGTTGGTTGTGGCGTAAAATTTTTCAAGAACTAATTTTCGGAAGAACTGACTTTAAAGTTTTCGAATTTGATCTCTGGGTTTTTTTACTTGATTAAGCAGATAATCATGGCTCTAAGTGAAAAGGGCTTTAATTTTTAAATTTTTAAGATGATTTTTTTAAATATTAATGTAAGAAACTACGTTTTACTAGTTATAGAATTATTAAAACATAGTTTTAAAAAACCGTTAAAAAATGTCATTTTAAAAATAATTTTCAGTAGAATTCGTGTAAAAAAAATATTGCTCAAAGAATGTAATGTGAGTAAATATAATGCTTATATGTAAAATACTAGAACAATAAAAATATTGAACAAACAATAATAATTTTGACACATTTAAATAATAAAAACAAGTTCCATTTTAAGTGCGTGCGGAAAATAATTACAACTTAAGGGGAAAAAATAATCTTACGGTTAACAAAGGAAAAAGTATTTATGTCTAGTTTTGTTCTGTAAAATAAATGATTTTGAAATAATTTACCATTAAATTTCAAGAATTTTTTAGTAGTTAAATTAAAAATTCAATTTTAATTCTGAAATTAATTTTAATGTTGTTTGAAGTAACCTGTAAATGCGAGGTTAGTATACAGGTGGAATTAATTTGTCGATTTCGTTTAAATCATCATAACTATTGCAATTGGGATTTTAAAAAATGTACTCATTTTGTTTATTTTAATAAAAATAAATTGGGAATCAATGAAATAGTTCTTTTAATAAAACTTCTTAAATACCTAATTGCTATACCAGAAAAAATTCCAATAACAAATATTAATAAAAATAAATATATATTGTTAAAATAATCTTAGATTCTGACGTTTTCTAATTTGTAGTGATTCAGTTCCAATTAGATATGAGATTATGTGTTGAAAAGTAATTATCAAATGCTTGAAAATTAATCTAACTTTTAAATGATATTTTTTAGACCTTTTATAAGCTCGCGCGCGCGAATACGCGATCTTTTTTTTTCTTCTTTTTTTTTTCTTTTCTCTACTGAGAGAGGGGATTTTATATGTGTTCTATGTTTTAAAATGTGATATCTTTCTTTTATATTTCAGACAAAGTTTTACAGCATTTAAATAATAGTAATTTTTTTCCAGATTTTTTAGATAGAATAATCCTGTACATAAAACTAAGGATTATAAATAAAAAATTATTTATTAAATTAATAAAGATTATAGCTCGTTACCCAAAACTAATTAAAAAATATGTTACTTCGTGCAAATTTTGTTATCTTATTTGGTTTTGAAAATTTTTCACATATTTTGAAATTGATTTCCTTCTATAAAATTTTTTATTTTTTCCCATGTTGATTGTAAGCTCTTACATTTCTCACTAAAAATCTGAAAATTGAACTTTCACGAGTAATAAAAATATAAAAAGAATTATACATGAATGTATTGGGAAAATATTCAAAATGATATTTCTTAGCTATTTTTCAACAAAAATTTGGACTGCTGTAAGATTTTTTCATAACCTCATTTGCGTGGTGCGTAGTATTTTAATTAGGTAAAAACTGCATATTTTAATATGTGTAAACCGGATATAGTTTTAAGTAGGTAAAAAATAATATTTGTGTTTTGGAGTGCGGCATAAATTCATCAACCAAGACACCTGGTTTGAATAAGAGGAAAAACAGAGAAAAAATAAACGTTGCGTTTTCTGATCTTTGTTGCTTTTTCAATTCGTACTATTTAGTCCACTCTTTCCTTACATGTATATATATATATATATATATATATATATGCATATCCTGTTCAAATTTTCAATCGTTGATAAAATACTTTACATTCATTCATTCATCCACCATTCAAGTTCAAATACATTTTTTTAAACTTGTAGTGGATGACACTTGATATTAATACAGTTTTTTCAAATATTACTTCATTAATTTAATTAAAAAATGAATAAATTGTAACAAACAAAAATAATAGCCCAATAGCATATATAGAAAAGAAAAATGTTCGTTGAGTACCTGTAGCGCAAAGGATAGCCCGTTGGACTTCTAATCCAAAAGTTGTGGTTTTGAATCACACCTGGACTGGGGGGCCTAATTTCTGAGAATGTAATTTCTGTTTTACTATACTATTTTATTAGAATAATTCAATTTAATTAATGAATGAATAGCAATAAACAAAGAAAATAGTCTAACGCCATATATAGAAAGGAAAATGGATCAATTTTGTCACTTAATATTATGATTCTGTCATCTGTACATTCATATTCTTATTAATTGTAACTATTTAATAAAAAGTCATTAAAATAAAAAAAAATTGTTGACCTAATTAGGAATTCAATAAAAAAAATTTTTACATTACTTGTTTTTTATTATTTAGCAAAAAAATATGAGAATTTCATACTTTAATTCTCTAAGAAAAACTTGAAACTAGAAATTACTACTTAGCACATTACACATATGTGTAATGTACTTTACACGTTACATATATATATATATATATATGCATGTCTTGCTTCAAATCAACATCGAGCTTTTTTAAAAACGGTTTTATTCAGCGAGCAGATTTTATTCAGATCTTACACTGAGTGAAAATGGAGCCAAGTTAAGACTAAGTGGCTTTAATACTTATGTCCAGATGTTTTAAGTACCCTTATTAGTTAATAGTTATACTTGAAGTATGGGCTATAAAAATAGTTATCTGGGATTAGAATTGTTATGTTTGGACCATCTGTTCGGGGAAATAATTGGGTGCTTAATTTAAGACTTGAAAATGTAACGGAAAATAAAAGTTAAGTGTTATATAAGGAAATTAATTTTAGGCCTAATTAAATTACCTTTATATATATATATGGATAATTAAATAAAATCTAAAATTCCCTATATAACACTTATTATAAGGGACAATTTCTCTTTTTAAATATCAAATGTACATAAATACTGTAACTGAATAACGTTTCATCCGAAAGTCAAGAATAAAATTTATTTGTATAAGCTTAAAAAGAGCAAAGTGTGTTTTAATATAGAAACTGGAAGAATTTTCAAATATTCCATCGGTGTACTTCAAACGATTTATTATTGTCATTACATCGGTAAAAATATTTTATCGACATAAATCTATTTAATATCCGTTCTAAAAAAATTTAAACCATTCAAGCGTCAAAACTTTGAACAGGTGAACTAAAGCGCTTCTCTTTTGATTTCATCCACAAATTGAACCGAATCTCGCGTTCATATTTTGTGAAGAATAAATGTTTTATTGCTTCCAATTTTGCCGGGAAACTGTCTGAAGAGAAGCACAAACAACTTCGGAAGAAAAATCGTAAGCTATCGTCCTTCAGAATATTTTCTTTCTTTGAATCGATATTGCATAAGACGCCACTCAAAATGCGACATTTTCAATCCCTACAGAAATCCATTTCCACGGCAAAGAACTGTGATGTCGGATTAATTTGTCTTGCATTTGCATTCGGCTTATGGTTGAATGGAATACCTCTTCTTCCTTGCCTCTACTGGATGGTTAAAAATAAAAACAGAATTTCGAAAATGACGCATTCGTAAATTGCCCCTTTCACGTTAACTTTGACTGCAATACACCAGTTTGTGGGAGTGCTATATATTATTCATAACTTTATGTACTCTAGGTAACGTTCTACTAGGGAGATACTCAGCGTCCTAGTATAATATTCATGACTCGTAATCAGGATGTCACTCTCATAGCCACAAATGCGTTAGTTATCACTCATATGCATCGCTCGTTATGAAGCGCTTGGTTTAAGAATTTAAATGCTTTACGTGCTCATGTTAAATACAACGATATTATCGGAATAGTTTGAATTACGAAATGCTACATTTTCTATTACGTACGGATTAAAATATATCGCTTGAAACGAAACTGCATCGTTGAGTCTCTCTTAGTTCAATATGGATGGTAAAAGTTTATCTTTTAAATTTAAAAATAAAATAAAATTGGGAAAGCATTGATAGCTGATATTTAGCTTAATTAAACGATAACGATAATATTTATCATATTTTTCTTAAATTTCTTAAAGAGTAAAAATGTTTGACGATGTCTCATTTAATCTTTAATTTATTTTCTCTTACGATTACAAACTGAAAAATTGTTAAAAGACTGAACAATTGAGGAGAAAAGTAACTCTAACTTAGAACCATATTGTTTCGAAGTGGTTAAAAAGTACTTTTTTTTGTACGGAAATACATAATTGTTATATTACATTTCTCTTTAAATGTTTTTAAAATCTAAATATTGCAATTACATTTTTAGCAAGTAGTGATTGCAATTACATATTTAGCATAACTTATACGAAAAATATTTCTTTATCCTCTTCCCCAGCTCACCTTAGCACCTGAACTGCCACCTGCGTATATATACGTCTTTTCGAAATACGATCCTTTCCTTTGTACTGCTATTAGTAAAACTATTCCTAATGTTTTGGAATGCAATAAAACTACATTCACAGCGTTGATGCGAAAGATTTACTTATTTCGGAGAAGAGTTTGCTTTTTTATGGCTTTACCCCTCAATTCACCACATACATGGGCCTTTGTAAAAAAAGATGGCACTGGGGAACGAATCGTGTCATTTTTAAATATCAGTTAAGGGGGTAAATATTGAATAGGTAAAGTAAAATAATTTTGTACAATCACTGCTCTTATTGAGTGAGTATTTATTTATCTCACTCAATAATGCAACACGAGGGCTATAGGCAACGGAACTCGTAATTTTGAGCCATGGTCAAGTGAGAAGGATGACACCTGTACTAGAACCACCCTCTCCTAACTACCACAACATACCAACGGGAGGACATTGAGAGGTGGGTCTTCAGAAGCAACCGGACTCGAACCCATGATACTCCGGCCACGAGTTTGTGACAACCGCTAGGTCCTGCTCTATTTTCAATGAAACAAATTCATTATACTGTATATGCCAGTGCTTCTCAAACTTTCAATATTTGAGACCCAATTTTCAATCATAATTTTCATTGCACCACCCCTTCATATAATAACAATATACTGAATGTAATAAAAACGTATAACGCTAAATCTACAATGTGACTTTAATTATAAACCGTACAATTAATTAAATTTTACAGTATTAAATTTTGTGTTTGACAAGCCCATGGGTGGCAGCAGCAATTATTAATTTTGTTCTTAACTTAGTATTGATGAATTAATGATCAAATATATTGTGCAGTACGGATACATGTATTAGGTATTTACGTACTATCGCAAGAATGCCAAGTTGGCAAATCCAATTTCGAATATGTCGTACATGCTGAATTGGCAACCATGTGCTTCGCTACATATAATGTTCCCAATATGATTGCAATAATACGCAAGTACCGTATATTATATCATTGTAAATGTGTGGAGTTTTTTTTTTTTTTTTGTTCTGCTTTCTTTCAGTAAATTAATAATCTTTTTAAAAAAATAATAATCTTTTATTTTTCGACATTTTGATATGCTCTAGCCCCTCTGGCAGGATTATGTCACCTCCCTAGGCAGTGCGCCCCACAGCTTGAGAAACACTAGTGTATGCTGTGGTTTTATTATATTATTCGAATTCATGAATGAGAGAGAGAGAGAAAAAAACTTTAATTTAAAGCTAATCTTCCCTTTAACGAAATAGGAATGAAAAAAATATAAATAAAAGAAACTAAAACACTTTATAGAACTATAATGATAGCTGCAGTGGTTAGTTCATGCCACATGAGTAAGTGTAGAGTAAACCGAAAAATTCTCAAAAATAAGAATAAAATGACGATGTAATTTTGAAATTTTGTAATTGTATTCTATTTCTATTTGTATTGTATGCTGATAAATTTTGTTTAATATCTATATATAGAGTTAAAAAGTATATTATCATCTCATAATGCTTCAGAAATCTGTACAATTGTATATTATTAATTAAATTCAATTAGGTGTTAAAGTTTACTTCAGTTATAATTTATTTTGGTATTCGTTATAATGAAAAGATCTACACATTAAAAAGAATTATCAAAGTATTCCAGACCGAATATTATAACAAAAAATATATTGATAATATACCCACTGTTGAAACTTAGTCGGCTATGTTATCTTCATAGTCGGCTATGTTATCTTCATAGTCGGCTATGTTATCTTCCATTGGTTCGATCTATATATTTAGTATCATTTATCTGGAATAAGAAAATCAATGTCGATTCCCATCACGTTTCAATAAGGGTATATTTGATTCTTTGTTTCTCTTCAAAACAATTTCTTAGGTCGATCAATTAGGAAAATGTTTATTTATTATTATTATTATTATTTTATTTTATGTATTTCTTTTATCACCAGAAAAGAAGTATTTCTGTTTATGTGTTAGTCTTTGGGTTCTGTATTGATATAAAATCTGACCAGAGAGAGAACATGAATTAACGTCACTCGCGTACTATAAAGCAACACAAGGAATATTGGCATAATCCACGTAATTTTGAATCTCGATCGAGTGACGAGGACGACACTTGAGCTAGTACTCCCCCCCCCCTCCTTCTCTAACTACCTCACCAAACCAACGGGAGGACATTTGAATCTTGACAGATTCAACGTGCAGCGGCCTTCAGTGGTGCTAGTCTCGAACGCGCGATGCTGCAGGCACGATAAAATCTGACCAGGTTAATGATATATTTTCTTAAGTCCAATGTATTTTAAAAGTTTCTTAAGCTAAATAATAAAAAACAAGTAATCAATTAACTTTTAAGCATAGCGGAGTTTCAAAATGTTGTCCCAATGAGTCTTTTTGTTTTCGTCATCTAGCTTAGTAGAAATAAAATAACAAAAATTTCCTATTTCGAAAATCAAATATGTTTTCAATTTCAATTCTATTATTAAAAAAAACCGTTATCTATTACTGAAGATAATTTTAATTTGAAGTTGGAAACATTTTAATAAAACCATTTAAATTAACCATTTATTTAAAAAAAAAAATCAAACACATTGCACAAACACTTTTGAAACCCATTTTATCCTCCGTAAGAAAAAGTATCAAAGATCTTTCAAATTACATATATCTATAAATTATACATTGAATACCAATGGAATAAAGA